TATGCCAAACTATCCTACTTTCCATACTCAACTACTCTGATTCTTACTTAAGCATCAGAGCTTGTGTGGCAAGAGCCACACCGATCTTTAGTGCTCCTCTATTTTGCAGGTCTCGTCGATCTCTTTTATTGTAGAAGATTGGTCCGAATTTGGCAGAATCCTAAGAGGCCAAATTTCTGCATCAACATCTTTTATAGGTGTGTCTTGGATATTATATAAAGGGATCATTTCGTTCATTTGTAAACAAGAAATTGAAGCAATTCAATCAAGAAAGAAAAGGAGAACAATAGTCTTATCTTGTGTGTTCTTGAATTTCATACAAGAACAAATTTATTCTCTTCAAAGTTTGTGAGATTTAGAGTAAATTTTAGTGAGGGCTTATCAACGCTTCCAACAAAGTGGTATCAAAGCCAAATTCAAAAGATGTCATCAAACAACATGTTGCAACCTTAACTTCCTTGTATTTAAGGAAAAAACTGTAGACGGTGGAGTCAACAAATATAGATTCTTTATGGATATCAAGAGCTTTAGGATATTATTGATATGATATATTTGGAGCTAGAAGGTGCAGATGGTCTTTACAACAACAACTCAACGAGTTGAGAGATGATAGAAAGAAAGACAAAAAAGACATTGTTTTTTATCTACCAAGCTGTAGATGAAAATATCTTTGAAATAATAGGAGTCCCAACTGCTAAAGCAACATGAGATGTATTGCAGAGTTTGTATGAAGGAGAGGAAAATGTAAAAATAGTAAGATTGCAAGCACTTCGAGTTGAATTTGATACCACTAGAATGAAAGAAGCCGAAACTATTGAAGAATTTTCAATCATGTTCTCTCTATTGCTAATCAATTGAGATCAAATGGAGGTGCAATTCAAGATCTAAGAGTGGTACAAAATATTCTTAGAAGCATGACCAGAAGATATAAGCACATTGTAGTAGTTTTTGAAGAGTCCAAAGATTTGTCAACTCTCTCAATAAATAGTTTAATGAGATCTCTCCAATGTCATGAGCTTAAATTGAAGCGATTTGATTCTACTCCTTCAAAATAAGCTTTTCATATGCAAACCTTTTTTAGAGCGAGATCTAATGAAAGAAGAGGTGGATGTAATGGTTGAGGAATGAAATGTCCAATGAGTTCAAAGTTTTGAGTTAGAGAGAAGAGATAATCAAACTTCTTCAAATAGCAATTTGGTTACACGAGTTAATTGAAAAACTTGGTGAAGATTTAAAAGATTAGTTGGTGATATATTGTGATAGTCAGATTACAGTCAATCTTTCAAAGAATCAAACTTATCATGAGAGACTAAGCACACTCATGTGTGCGGTTATAATTGTTGAGAGAAATGAAAAATGGGAAAATGTAAATTTCATTCCATAACTTCTAATACTAAAAATAGACTAAACTATCTCTACAAAATTAGCAACTTCACTAACTCCACAAAGAATACTTAAAAGATTATACTACAACTAAAATAACATCAGCAGCTTCCTATAAACTAGGACTTAGACTAGATCAATTCAAAACTAACATTTATAGGTTGAGTTAACTGACATTCTCTTGACTCAAATATTGAACATATAGCTTCATCCTAAGAGCTTGAAAACAACTCACACTAAAAGGCGCAGTGAAGATATGTGCTATTGTTCCTCTAAGTTGTAATACACCAGCTGCACTTCTCTTTCCTTCAGCATTTCTTTCAGAATATACTACTTGATCTTAAATGATTGGTACTTCCATGAAAATCGAATTTAATGAAATAGCTAGAGTGGCTCGATTTCCAAAAAAACTTCCACAGTTTTCCTCTTTCTCTTTCTTTCGAGCTAATGTTCAACTTGTGTTATTTTTTTGTACAATAATAAGAACTACAGTGTGCTATTTAATTTTAGTTGTTATCATAAATTTTTTATTCGGAACTAGGATAAAGTTCGTGGGAAATAAAGATATTAAAAACTAGCGATAAAGTAAAATCAAGATTAATTTTAGTTGTTATCATAACTTTTTTTATTTGGAATTACAATTTTAATTGAAAGTCATGAGTCTACCTCTTTTGCAATTCTCTACTCATTCTTAGGGTTGTATATCTAAAATGTTGGTTTTCTGTTGTTTTAGTAAATAATTATTATAATTATTTATTAATTGCTTTTCTTTTTTATTATTTGTAATTAGTAGATTATTGTGCTAGATTCCTTATTTATGTTTTTTTTTCACCTCTACTTAAAGGTGAATTAAGGTTTTACTATTCAATAAAAGAAATAATTATTTTCCTCCCAAAATTGAGATGGTATCAGAGCCAATAGGTTGAAACCTAACCATAATTCTAGTCGCCTTGCCACTCACCATTACTGTCGTCGTCCGCCACAAATAGTATTGTCGCCGACACCATCATCAGCTCATTATCGTCATGGGTTGCACAGTTATCCTTCTGGCCATCGTCTGGTGTCTTATTCATTATCGGGTTACGATTCACATTCACGGGTCTTTGTGGGTTTTGTATCGTCGGCTTCGTGGGTTACAGCTTCGTTATTCACCGCCCCTTCCTACGGTTCCACAACAATTTTTCACCATCGCCACCTAGGGTTTCGTTGTTTGTTGTTGCCTTCTAGGGTTTCGTGGCTGCTATCTATCGCTACTGCCACCTAGGGTTCCGTCGCTGGCATTCGATGCCACCACCTAGGGTTATGTTGCCATTGGTTGCCATTGTTACAGAGGGTTCTACTATTGTTCTGCGATCTTTGTGGGTTTGTCATGCACGATCAACCATGGTTGATTTATCTTTGAAGAAAATAGATCAACTACAAAACTCTAAGATTTTTGAAACCCAGTTCAACTCTAGTAGTCATCTTGTCCAAATAACTAACATACGGCTAAATGGAGACAATTAAGTGTTCATATGTATCTTCTGGATATAGCAAATTAAATTGGTTATATTACTGGAGATAAAAAGCACCGGCTGCAGAAGATCCTTTATTTATTATGTGGGACACTAAAAGTTCCATAGTAATGACTTGGCTTGCCAACTATATGTGTTATTCCGCTGCGAAGGAATTATGGGACAATGTAAAAGAGATGTATTTAGATTTGAGGAATCAATCACAGGTATTTGAACTGACCCTAAAATTTAGTGGAATTAAACAAGGGACAAATACAGTTACAAAATATTTTAAGTCTTTGAAAAAGAATTGGAAAGAGTTAGATTCTTTTGATACCCATGAGTGGAAATGCTCAGATATGACTCTAAACTTCATCTGAAAATTGTAGAAGAAGGTCGAATTTACAAATTTCTTGTTTGTATGAAGGTGAAAGAGGTCAGAGGCAGAATTATTAGCAAACAGCCACTTCCAACGATTTGTGAAGTCTTTTCTAAAGTTTGACGTGAAGAAAATTGTCGGAATGTTATGGTCGGTAAGAAAATTACAAGCAACACTGTTGAAGATTTTGCATTGGTTGCTAAAAAGAATCAAATCATCAAAGTAATGGGAATGAGAAATCTCACGTATGGTGTGATTATTATAATAAATCCGATTTTCCTTTTAAGGGTAATTTTATGTATTGTAGTCAATCCAAAAACCAAATCATTGACATTAGCTCTCCATCAACACCATTAGTACCCTTGTAACTCCTTCACTTGGTATAATCTGGTCTCAGGCACTCCCACAATATCCCCTGGTGCAACTGTCCCTGATATTGAGGTTTCAACTTCCTCTCCAAGTCCACCCTTGGATAGTATGAATGGGGAAAATAGTCCTATTACATCTATTCAAGAGCAAGAATCACGATGTCATGATAGCAATAGAGAGCCTATAGTGACACCCATAGAAGTTGAGGATGATAACAAAGAAGTTACTACATTGGTAGTAAATCAGCATCCAATGATGACAAGAGGCAAAATTGGGATCTTTAAGCCTAAATATAGTGCCTAAAAAGCACAGTACCAATGTCATGATCTAACTAATGAGTTGTTTGACAAGGAACCAAATACTGTTGAAGAAGCCCTACTGAGCAAACAGTGGAAATTAACCATGCAATCAGAATTTGAAGCATTAAATGCTAAATAAGACTTGGAGGCTAGTACCCTACAAACCCAATCTTAATGTTGTAGGAAATAAGTGGGCTTTCAGGGGAAAAAAAGATTTGAATGGTGCAGTACAAAGGTATAAAGCTAGGCTGGTTGCTGAAGGTTTTCACTCAACACCTGAAATTGTTTTTTTTTTTTGAAATATTTGGTCCAGTGATCAAACAACTTGACTTCAATAATGCTTTCTTAAATGGTTAGTTACAAGAGACTGTTTATATATGAAACAACTTGAAGGGTTTGTCGATCCTAAATATCCAACCTATGTGTGCAAGCTAGAAAATGCCCTCTATGGCCTAAAGCAAGCCTCTCGAGCTTGGTATGACAAGTTGAAATCAATACTCCTAGCTTGGGGATTCAAAAATGCAAAGGCAAACAATTCATTGTTCATGTACAACAAAGAGAAGTGTGTGATATGGCTCCTGATTTATGTTAATGACATATCGTGACAGGAAATGATAGCAAACAAATAAAAAAGTTCACAGAACTGCTCAACAATAGATTTTCGTTGAAAGATAAATATGGAGGAATTAAACTATTTTCTTTTTTAATTGAAGTTAAAAGAACGGAGAAAGACCTTCATCTAAGTCAGAAGAACTATGTTGCAAACCTCTTGAAAAAGCTGAATCTAAAAAACCTCAAGGTCAGTCCAACTCCTATGATAGTTGGAAAAGAACTACTCTCAAAATATGAAGATACAATGGAAAATGCAAAAGAATATCAAATTATAGTTGGCAACTTACAATACTCGTGAAGATATTGCCATAAGAGTAAATCATCTAAGTCAGTTTCTCTCAAATCCAAAAGAAAACCAATTTTGAGCTTTGAAAAGAATACTTAGGTTTCTCAAATAAACTATATGTTTGGAGTTAAACATATGCCCAACAATTAACCTATCAATCTCGACATTCTCATATGCAGATTGGGCAAGCGATTTGGAAGATAGAAAATCCATGTGGGTACTGTCTACCTAGGTGAGAATCTCATCTCTTGGTCTTAAAAAAAACAGAGCGTCACTGATGTGAGTGATTTTTAATTGTGTATCACCTCCTACATACATAGTTTCCTTACCATTGTATTCAATCTTCTGATTTAAATTTGCTTGATCATAGGTAACATGGCTTGAGGAGCCACTATCAGTATACAGAGATGGATCAACCACTACCTCTATTGCTACAATATAAGCCATCAATGGCTCCCATTGTCTGATTGTGATTGAGGATCCAAGTAATCTTTATTGAAACAAAACCCAACAACTTAATGCACCGTGTCCATATTTGCCACATGCTTGGCAAGTTGGTCTAAGACCATTTTTTTTTACCTACCTTCTCTATCACGTGATTTTCTCTTTGAAATTTTGATTTCCCCTGTCATTTCCATTTCCTTGTGTGCCATATCTATTTCCAAAATTTTGAGTATTCCCAAAGACAACATTTGTCGTGAAGTTGGCTAGCTCAGAGTTTGTGGTATTAGGTTGAGATGGATAAGGGACTACTCAAAAGCAACCAAATTGGCATGAGCTTCTTATCTGGTAAGACCATCTTTCCCATTTAGTTGACATATGATCGATAAGTATTCTGCATCTAAACCGATAAGAACATTAGAGATAAGACTAGAATTAGAAATTGGTTCACTTGCTAGAGACAAATTATCAGTTGTTCGATCCTTTTGAGCCAAATAGTCTGTCATTTTGTGTTCCCTTTACGGGAATTTTGTAGGTTAGTTTTTAATTGGTCGATACGAGCCTGATTGGCTGATCTCTATGCCTTCCACACCTTTCTTGAAGTGTCGAGACTTTCTACATCGCTTGACACGGTTTGCTCCATTGAACTGAACATCCAACCTAAGAGACTTCATTCTCAAATGCGGTATTGATAGCATATATAGTTGTTGCACCTTCTTCGATTGCAACAAATTCTAAGGGGATTGATTTTATTCCAAGGATGAAACCTTCAAGCCTTTGGCCTTTAAAGACAGCCAAAACCATGGATGTCCATAAGAGCCAGTTTACTTTACTTAGCTTGACCGCAAGTGTTGTATTAAAATGATTTCCTAATGGTATGGGTCTTCCATTCAAAGACTGCATGTTTTGTTGACTAATTTAAGAAGTTTTTGCACTAACAATCTCCACAGTGAAGGGATGTTAATCCCGGAGCAGAAGCAGATCGTTGTTCGAGATATATGGGAAACAAAATCAAAATGTGCAAGAAGGAAAAACAGGGGAAAACCATATCTTTGAAGAACTTTTCTTCAACGGTTTCCACCCGAACACCACCACCGTGTCTTCCTCGCTATCCTCTTGGGTCTCGAGAGCGTGCTTGTGGGAGCACCGATTTGGAATGTGAGGGAGA